TCCTCAATTTGATTACCTAGTTCGCTCAAGTCAGAGTCTTCTTCCTCGGAGCGCAGGTCCTGTTCGTAATTGTCGTCAACCATGGGATCGTAGTCTTCGTCCTCCTCGTTCTCGGCGGCATCTGATTGGTTATAGCTGAGTGAGGGGGGTGGAACTTCAACTGCTTCGGCCGTTGGAGTTGCCGCGTCTTCAAATGATCCACTCTGTTTCATAATAACTGAAAACAGACAGACACGGTAAAGCGGGTTAGCCGTTCACAGTACGGAAAGGGGAAATCATAAATATGGACGATTTGTGTGGTCGCCTAAACGGGAGATACTAATGGGGATGTCCACTCACTTAAAATCTCTGGGCTTGCGATGCAGTTCAGAAAGGGTCAATAGTCTCTTTCCCAAAAAGTCTGACCTCCCAAGAAGCTTTCAGCTTCGATGTTTGTTAAAGTTTTGTCTACTTTTTTTAAAACAAGAAGCATTCTTGAAATCTATCTTGGATTTTAGTTCATAATCGGTGTGAGGATTACACAGAATACTGGGGAATTAACGCCCACAATCATTTAGGACAGTTTCTCATCCCTCTTTTTTTTTTGAAAGAATGCTCAAAACTGCTTTCCAAACAACACGAAACCTATGCATCTGAATCGCCAGGAAATTATCCGTCTGAAGCCGCCGAATGAAGAGCTTGTGGGACAGCAACTCTCATAAAGTATTGCTGTTTGGTTTATTAATTTTCAGTCTAGATCTTACTTTAGTCAGATACCGCCAACGTTAGATAAATACACTTGAATAACGACAACTTACCATCTCAATAAACTCAGCTTAACTTAACTAACCTAAAATCTAACCTACACGATAACTACAATTAAACTAAGCTAATACCATCTGTCCCGTACGATAGAATTCTAGGGCTAGGGGTATCTAAGTTGGACCAGCACCTTAATTTTCCCCGGGACGATACTGTGTCGCCTTTCGTTCGCCTTTTGAAACAGTCTTAAACACAGAACACGGAAACATTCCTATTAACGCAGGAATCGCGACACCAAAAAGATTTTATGTGTGTGTGTGGAGATTGAGTCGCGCAACGTTCCCAGATGCTCTGTCAAGGTGGGACAGTGTTAAATAGCTGCTGCTACTGCCAGACTTTCGATGGTTACCTCCGAAATATTAAGACGAAAGGCAGACGCTTATTTTTGATAATGGCGCAGGTATACGACAGAGTCTATCATTTCTCCATAAGCAGAAAATGAGGAGAGAAAATGCCGGATAGAAAACGTCCAGCTGCCAACTGGCTTCCAGCTGCACACAAAAAGCCCTCATTATCTATGCTTTGCAATTCATGGAGTATATGGGGTCTCTACGTGAAAAGGCAAGCAATGTCGAGTTTTTTAGTGAGACCATCTGGCAACCAGCCCGCAACTCCCTCCTCCCATTCTGCCTAACCTCTCATAACAAATTAATTCGTTCGATCATTAGGAAATTTGCGAAACAGGCAGATTATTCGGCGCTTCAAAAAGTGGCAGTTACTTTGCCTTATACATTATTTAATACATTATTTGATAAAAAAAGTTGACTTCTGGAGGTCAATATTTAAGCATCTTTCCGGAAAAATGACAACTTACGCGTTTTCGCCGATGTCGCGAATGTCGTCAGCAGTAGCTGTGGAATGGAAATGTAACAACAGTGTCTGCGTGAAGACTGCGGGCCACATAAAACGATAGGTAATTCTTAAAAAATTACTCTTCATGACTATAAGGAGACGGTGCGTTTTTACTGACTGCTAATTAGAAGTAAACAAGTAGCAAAATGTAATGATCAATCGGGAAACGTTGTAGACTGTTTAATCAGGTTCTTAGAGGGCTGCCAGCTGGTCAAATGCTCGTTTGTCAGTCAGGAGCAGAATTTGAGATTGGTACCGGCGAGCTAGATTGTGCCCTACATGTTCGTTTGTTTTCGATTCGGGTTTCAATTTTCTGGATTTTTTGAGAACTGTTGTTCCCGATTTTTCCACACTGGATATTATTAGGCAACAGATTCGTCAGACGATAACGCGCAGTCTGTCCTGTTGCCTCATTGACAGCTCTGTACTTGCGCAAGCATAGGTGACAGTCGTTGATCCAACACCCGTGTCATTCAACTGACAATTTCGATACGTTCTTGTCAGGTCTTTATATCGCTGTGTAAATAAGTAGAATATGTGTGGGGAGATAGGAAAACCCGTGCGGCTGCTCGGTATATGGATAGTTTCAGGCAAAACTGTCAGAATACTCAGTCGACAGATGATGTCACGTATTCAGCTCTTTGACAGATTATAAACTGCTTTGTTTATCACATCGTAGGTTAATCTATGACACATTACAGTCTTGGGGCAAGGTTTCGTAGTGTATAAAGAGGCTCCGAAACACCCGTATAGTTGGAGTAGTTTGTGTAACAGCCTTCAGATTGTCTTGTAAATGTAAAAGCGATAGTTGGTTTATTTGTAAAACCCGTTCGGTAAGTTAAAGAAACCAACGCATTCACATCAAAGAATATTTTCTGTAAACATAAACTCAGTTTAATATATACCTTTTAATTTAAGTTCGTCTACGTCAGTTTAAAATATATGAAACGAGATAGAGACAGCAAATAGCAAAAGTGGACTTCTTTGCCCTCTTCCGTTGAAAGGGAATTTTATAGGAAGGTCCTGAGTGTTTTTGGAAATTTCCACTCTAACACTGTGCAGTGCGTTAATCTTAATATTTTGAGCAACTATTGTGTAGGGCATAAGGAAAGTGCATTCGTGGACAGATCATAACTTTCTCGACTATTTTGTGCAGTTCTACACCAACTACAACTGGAAATTTCGAGTTTGATATATTTTATATAGGATAATGTTTCCTCTGAAGAACACGAGCGAAAATGAGCGAAGCGAAAGGATAAAAGTCGCACTGCCTTACTTATATAACAGGCTTATAGGTAGGATCAAATGAAAAATTAACACGCACAAACTTCCTAATTCAAACCATCTATTGAGATTAATACTTTTAGATTTAACTTTTACTGGGACGTAAAAGTCTCTTCAAGCCATCGTCGTAACTTTCTCAAAAATGCAAACAAACGAATATGTATATATTTATGAATTTATAAGGCCGGAGTATTGGAGACATAAATAGAAATCTTGCTTACCAGAAAGCAGATTGTATGTCTCATCTTAGCGATATTGTAGCGGAAATTGCAGCAACCAGTTAATCTGCAAAAGAAAGCGATCAGTTTTAACAAATGCGATGACGCTATGGGGGTAAAGTGTCTGTTAGTGGTAACAAATGCATCGGCAAATATATTAGTTCACTCAAGTTAATTGATAAAGCAAACACAAGTAATCCCTTATTTAAGACACCCGCTGATAGCCCAGGAACAGAAGGTACAGCACTCTTCTATTTAATTGAAGCATTGTCACCTATGGGAGGATTGAGTAATTCTCAGTGAATTTTATGTTATTTATGTCAAAATAAGCATGCGGATACTCTGTAATACCTCCTTAAACAGGTTATATACCCAAATAACATGTAAATTCTGCCTATCAGGGGCAAGTAGCAATTGTTAACTTTTGCGTAATCTCTGCGAATATTTTAATGCTTAATATGAGAAGTCAATGGCACAAATATATGTTTTCAGCAAATCTTCATCAGGCCAAAGCATTTGCAGGGGTAATGAAAACTGTACAGTTGGACAGGGTTAATAAGGGTAGTCTGATTATAACTCATCGTTTGAGAAGAAGAAGACTCGATCGCTGGGAAAATACGTTTATTCGCTTGACGTTTC